CACAAATATTTTTATGTGCTATCTAATTACAATTTGGAGAAATTAAAAAGACTTAAAAGAATTTAATAAGTGTTAAATTTTTTTTTTCAAAAAAATCAAAAAAATTAAGAGAGAGAGAGAGAGAGAGAGAGAGAGAAAAAAAAAGCAAGGAACGTGGGCGCTTAACCGAGGAGGTACCCCCAAAGGCAAATGCCCTTTTTTTCATCACACATATACACACCACATAGCCACATAGCCATAGCCACATTGTGTAATTATAATCTTTGAACCAATCACCAAACAACCCCCAATATTATAGTGGAACTCTTACAAAATTTGTGAGTTAGATATAGATATAAATAAATAGATAGATATAGATATAGATATAGAGATAGATATTTATATTTGTTTTAAAATTTTTTTTAATACAAATTATTTGTTTTGGAAAAGGTACTGCAGTAATTATGAAAGAAGTTAAAAAGTTTTGTAGGTTGAGATAAATTAATAAATGCTGAGGTTAAATTTTTTTTTTTTAAAAAGGCAAAAAATTAGAAAATTAGGATTGATATATTGAAACTCCCAATGGCCTTGGGCACAGGCCTTGGGGGTTAAAAACCCCCTTTTGCTTAATATATAATATAGATAGATAAATAGATTTATAGATAGATAGATAGGTTGTGATTTTTAAATGTTTTTTTTTTATTTATTTTAAATGTCTTCTTCTTTTCTTTTTTTATATTATATTAAAATTTAATATTTTGATAATAATCATATGTGTTGGACTATTCGAGGAATTAAATGTCTTATTATTATTATTATTATTATATCATATTAAAGTTTAATATTTTGATAATAATCATATGTGTTGGATTTTTTAAGAATTTTTTTTTATACTCGTTCTTAATGCATTAAAGTGTTATTATAAGAGATAATAATTATATGTGTTGGAAGTTTTTAACGAATTCATATGTGTTGGATTTCAAAGATTTTTTTTTTATACTTGTTCTTAATGCATTAAAGTGTTATTATAAGGTTATGACTTGAGATTTGGGAGAAGTTAATAAATGCTATGATTTTTTTTTTTAAATCAAAAAATCAGGAAATTTAGATTGGGAGATTGGAGCTCCCACAAGACTTGGGGTTAAAAATCTCCTTTTGCTTAATAGATAGATAGATAGATAGATATTTTTTTATTTTTTTTTTATTTTTGTGTGGTTTCTATTCGGGTATTTTTTTTTCAATTTATTTAAGATGGAGTTGTGGATATTTTTTTTTAAAAATTTAATTTATTTGTGGTTTCCATTTGTTTTTAATTATTATTATTTAGGTAAGTTATGATGTGAGTTAGATATGTGATAGACATGTGAGTTTTATTGATTTAAAGTTTATTTAGCCCCCGTTTGGAAAGTGGGTTGGCTTTTTGGCTTTTTGGCTTTTTTGGCTATTTTAGCCTGGGCTAAAAAGTTTGGTTTGGGAAAGGCTTTTTGGCTTTTTGACTTTTTTGACTTTTTTTGTGAGAGAAGAATGTAATGATTAAGGGTTGGATGTGATATTTTGTTTTTTATGGCTAAAATAGTCTATTTTATCTTTTGTGGCTAAAATAGTTAAAAAAGCCCCGTTTAGCTCTTGCCAAACGGAGCCTTAGATAAACTTTAAAAAAAAATTAGTTTTTTAGTTTTTTTTGTTATGTTATAATATAATATATAAAATATAGGTACATATCTACAACTTTAATAAAAAATATTATTTGATTTTTTGGGGAAGAGAAAAAGAATGCAAGTTTTAATATTTTTTTTTGAAAATTTGTGAGAGGGATTAGGATGGAGAGATTATGAAATATTTTTGTTATTAAATAAATAAACCACTTAATAGTTTTTTTTTAATCTATTTTGTAAATTAAAAATCAATAATTTTGAAAAATTGATTAATTTTTCTCATTAAATGATTTAAAATTTTGATAGATATACAAAGAAAAAAACATAATTATATTATTAAATCATAATTCAAATTTAGATGTTATATCTTTTCGAGATTTATAGCTAAATTCTTATCTTCTTTTTTTTTATGTAACCATAGTGTATAGGAGAAATTGAAAAGGATGTTGCAATAATTATGAGAAAAGTCAAAAGGGATTGTGGGTTGGGAGTAGTCAATAAATGCTGAAGTTGGGTTGGGAGAAGTCAATAAATGCTGAGATTTTTTTTTTTAAATCAAAAAATTAATTATTATTATTTAGGTAAGTTATAATGTGAGTTATATATGTAATAGACATATAAGTTTTATTGATTTAAAGTTTATTTAAATAAACTTTTAAAAAAAAAATTAATTTTTTAGTTTTTTTTGTTATGTTATAATATAAAATGTAAAATATAAGTAGATATCTACAACTTTAATAAAAAATATTATCTAATTTTTTGGGGAAGAGAAAAAGAATGCAAGTTTAATATTTTTTTTTAAAAATTTGTGAGAGAGATTAAGAGGGAGAGATTACGAAATATTTTTGTTATTAAATAAATAAATCGGTCAATAGTTTTTTTAATTTATTTTGTAAATTAAAAATCAATAATTTTGAAAAATTGATTAATTTTAAGTGATTTAAAATTTTGATAGATATACATAAAAAAAAAACATAATTATATTATTAAATCATAATTCAAATTTAGATGTTATATCTTTTTGAAAATTATACCTAAATTTTTATTTTTTTTATTTTTGTGTGTAACCTATGGGAGAAATTAAAAAGGGTGTTGTTATAATTATGAGAGAAGTCAAAAGGAATTGTGAGTTGAAAAAAGTCAATAAATACTAAAATTAAGTTGAAAAAAGCCAATAAATATTGAAATTTTTTTTTTTAAATCAAAAAATTAAAAAATTAAGATTAAAAAATTAAGGGTATGTTTGGTTTGTGTTTGAGAGATGTGTTTTAGAGATAAAAAGTACGAAAACATGTTTGGTTTGGTTTTTTTTAAAAGATGTTTTGAAAAATTATTTTGAGATAGAGTTTTGGAAAAAGTGATTGATTTGATATGTGTGAGAGAGAGATTTGTTTGGAAAACTTGTTTGGTTTACAAGTTTTGGGAAATTTTTTTGGGAAAATTTGTTTGGTTTGATTATTTTTGAAAACTTATTTGTAGAGAAAATTTCCCAAAATTTTTTCAGAAAATCAAACCAAACGAGCCCTAAAAATCACATAAACTTTAGGGTTAAAAACCTTCTTTTACTAAATATATAGCATAGCATAGATAGTAAAACTCTCTCGTCTCCTGTCTGACATTCTGATAATGTCATAAACATATAATTTAGAAGAGGCCCACACACTCCCACCCACAAAGTTGCCTCGTTAATAAACCACACACAACCTCAACCCCACCTGCCATCCCCACACACATCAGAGATATTTCAGGCAGCCCCCCAAAGCTCCCTCTTTTTTGTGCTCTCTCAGAGGAGTAATTATATTATATGCCTTAAATTTAAATTTTATCCTTTTTTTACAAAAAAAAAATTAATAATTTTGTAAAGAAAGGTAAATAAACAGCAACGACTCCGTCCAGCATACGCAATGATCACAAAATACGGTACGCTCAGACTTTTCCTTACGTTGTCCTTTTCCCCTTCCCTTCAACCCCAGCTTTGGCGGGACACCACCCTCAACCACCCACCGGTCCTCGTGTCCTGTCCCTACTTTTACTACTGGCTTTTCTCTCATTTAAAAAATTATTACTCCCTCCGTCCCAAAATAATGGTCCCTTTTGGGAAATCCAACTTTTTTTGGTAGTACAATTATTGTACTTTTAAAAAGTTAGTTTTCCAAAATTACCCTTTGATAGTACACTTTTTTGAGAATATCAATGTCATAATTGTACTTTTTATATTATTTATGAATTTAAAAGAAGGGCAAAATAGAAAATTTATATTATTTTTGTACTTGATTTTTGAAGAGGGACTAATATTTTGGGACAATGAAAAATGGAATAAGGGACTAATATTATGGGACGGAGGGAGTAGAAATTTTAAAATTTTTATTAATTTTTTTATTAAATATCTTATAAAAATATAAAATTCACATCATATAAATCCTATATAATTTATCAAATATCTTATAAAAATATAAAACTCATCATGTAAAACTCATATAAACCTCATAATAATGTGAAATATTTAAAAAAAAAATTGATAAAACTTTTTACATCTCTTAACATTATTCTTCTTTCCCCAATCTCTCTAAAGCCGTGTGCCCCGCTGCACACTGCACACGAGGCTTGTTACCAAGAAAACACAGAAAAATTTAATTAAAAAAAATTAAAGAAAAAGAAAAGGGAAGACCCAATCTCTCGAAAGCCGTGTGCCCCGCTGCACACTGCACACGAGGCTTGTTACCAAGAAAACACAGAAAAATTTAATTAAAAAAAATTAAAGAAAAAGAAAAGAGGAGAGACCTGCACAAAACAGCGACATTTGCGCGAGACCGACGTGTCAGTCTTCGCACAGCACGTGTCACTTTCACCTGCACCGTTGACTTCACGTCCCTTTTTCGCGCGTACACTATGATACTCGAATTCCTCGTCTTTATTTCTCTCTCCTAATTGTTGTTAGATCATTAGATTTAGACTATTTTTAAATGTAATTTTAATGATACAGAGCATTCACATTTTAAAATTTATTAAATATTTTATATTTTTAAAAAATTATATGAATCAAATATCAAAAAATATAGGACAAATTACATATACACCCCTCGAGATTTGGTTAAATTACAGATACCTCCCTGAGGTTTCAGAAATTACATCCCGCCCCCTGAGGTTTGTATTTTCATAACAATTTACCCCCTGAGCTATATGGTTTTTAGATCCATCCTTGTCTCAGGTAGTAAGGGATAGATAGAGTAACCCATCCACCCCTTTCCCTGATTGCGTTGAGGACTTTATTTAGAGAGTGAGTATTTGGAACAAAACTTGCTTTGGAAACATTTTTCATTAAAAAAAAAAACTAAAAAAATAAAAAAACTAAAAAAAAAAAAAAAAAAAAAAAAAAAAAGATTACTGCTGAGCTGAGTTGTTTTTTTTCTTGAAATATTTTTTTTACATTGTTTTTCGTTTTTCTCTCGTTTTTTTTGGAATTTTCAAGAGGAGATGATAACGTGCACACTGGCGTCCTTGGCGGTGTTACAGATGGGGCAAGTGTGAACCGACGACCCACAAACAGTACAGAGGCAGAGATGCCTGCACGGCAGCAACAACACGGACGACTCCTCCTTCCCACAGTGCCTGCACAACCTCCTCCTGCTCTTGCTGCTGTTGTTGCCGCTGCTACTGCTAGTTGTACAATCATCATTACACTTATCCTTCACTCTCTTTCTCTCTCCTCCGCATCCAGCTATTGTGCGCCGCTCCTCCGCATCGCCGTCGTAATTGCTGCCGCAGCACGACTGAGCATCGTCCATCAAGGCTGCCGCCGAGTCCAATGCACCGCCGCCACGGTGGTGGTGGTGGTGTTGTTGCTCGTCCTTGATCTGTGCCAGCACCTGCTCGAGGTTGCTTCTCAGGGCGTTGGCCGTGGCTTCGTTCGTCTGAGCCAATTCTCTCCATATCTGGTTCTCAAGACACAGCGACCTCACTCTTTCTTCGAGCGCCCAATTTAACTTTCCAATCTTCTCTATCTCATCTTCCTTCGATCGCAATCGATTCATTATCCCTTCCTCCACTGCCGCTATAATCCTCCTTGAATATCGCTTTCGCCTCTCCTCGACCTCGAATCTCACCTTCTCCGTCTGTATAGACGAACATACACACATTTAATACAAATAAGGATAAACAAAGGCAAGCGATGAAGAAAGACCTAAGGGATTATTAGATTCGTACATGTTGAGCGATGAAGCGATCAACCTCTAACTGCTGTTGTTGGATTTGCATCGAAATGTCTTCGCCGAGAAAGGTGAAAGAACCACAGCGATTGTTGTTTTGATTCTGAATCTGAGCGTTGGGGAAGGAGATCAATGGATTAATCAAATCTCTGGAGCGCTTTTTTGAAACAGGAAGAACGTAGTAAGACCGCTATCGGCCTTCATCGCAGTCTTCGCCTGAAGAGAATCAGTGATCACAGAGCTATACATCGGAAGCAGAGTCTCGGTCGTCGTTCCCGATAGCGGAGGCAATCCGTATCCGATTGGAGTATTCCCGTAGGCATTCACGTTGCCTTCAATGGCGCTCATCATTTCTCTGAACATTCATTCACCAAAATCAGATAGAAAACAAAAAATAAAAATAAAAGAATCGTAGAAGAGATAGAGAAAGAGAAAATACCTGTTTCTTAAGAGCTGAGAAGGGCAGAGATTAAGATGGCGTGCTTCAACAGCCATGGCAAGTGATTTCTTCTTCTTGGTTATCTCTACTCTTTCTTTTTCCTTTTTTCTCTTTTCTTTCTGTGTATATAGAGATATATATAGAAGTTGTGTGCGGTTTGGGTTTGGGGACAGAGAAGAAGGGGAGGAGAGGAAGGAGCGAAGAGAGGGAAATGAACAAAAGCATGCAATAGAGGTGGCAAAGCCGTATGGTGGGGTTTATTTAGGGTTTAGGTTAGAGAGAGAAAAAGTACGTAACTTTATAAAAACGATTGTTTTGTGTGAATATATATATATATATATAGACGAGAGAGAGAGAGAAAAAAAAGAAGAAGAAGAAGATGAAAGGATAGAGTGAGAGGAGAAAAAGAGGGGAAAGAGATTTGTTTGGTTGTTTGTTTGTTTCGGTTTTGTCTATTTTTGAGATTCGGTTACCAGAAAGGCCCTCTTTCTCTGTACCTCACTCTTTCTCTCTCTAAAAATTTAAGTGTCGTCTCTACCGTAACCAACCCGGTCAGTGCGTAATTTAAGCGAAGTTTCGGGGGCTAATAGAAGCGCCTGTTTTGTGGACTCGTTATAAATTTTGATAATTTTGTTTTTAATTTAATTTTTGGTAACTGACACGCAGGGGCATGTGCCACCTGGGAACCTGCCGACTAGCGCCTGCCACGCTTTGCCACGTCGGTTGACACCATCCTTTTTACCATGTGACAACATGCGATTATTTGAAAAAAATATGAAAAATTTACTCAGTCATTTAGGTAGCGTTTGGTAGAGTTTTGTAAATATGATTTGAGAGTATGAGTTGTATTTTGAGTTTGTATGTTGTGGAATTATGATTATATTTTCAAAAATATATTATAAATTAATATAAAAAAATTAAAAATTTAATTATTAATATTAATAAATTTTATTATTAATTTATAATTATTTTTAAATTATACACTAAATAGTAATTTCAAAAAATATTGAGAGAAACATAGGGGTGTTTCGACAAGATGGTTAAAAGTTATTTTTTAATTTTTTTTGACTTTTTTGTAAAAGAAAGATGTGGGTTAAAAGTTGAGAAGTGACTTTTAACTCACTTCTCAAAACATATCATAATGTCATCTTTCATCAATAAAAAAAATCATAAATAATTAAATTGGTGAAATTTGTCTCTCACTAACTAATAATATTGTGGTTCTTATTATAAATCAAGAATGGTCATTAGATGGTAATATCGGCACTTAGTATTATCATTACATTTAATATTTACTCGTTTATTTGGTGATAAAAAATCCTTCGCATTATTTAATTTTTGATATTTGTTTTATTTTTAAATCAATAAAAATGAAGTAATAATTTTCCATGCCATTACTTTCACACTACTTATCTAGTATTCTTCATAAATGAAGAATTTCAGAATATATTAAGTAGATCATTTTTATCTTTCAATTACTTAATAAAAACTTATCAACATCACGTAACTTACAAAATTTTTAACTATAATTAAGAATATCATGTGAATATTATCACATAACATTCCAGTTCATTTTTAAACTTTTCTTGCACATTATATATTTTTTTTAGAAAAATGTTTTATACCATTAATTTAGTATCACTAATGCATCACTAATGACATAACATTATTGAGCCCCATTATTGATGTGATAGTTTGACCTTTATTTATTTATTTATTTATTCTTACACTTGCCAACTCATTATTGGTGCTTTTAGAACTATTGATTTAGTACTCTAAATCAAGACTGTTTTTTTTATGTGTCAACAACATTGTATTAGTAACAAAAATTAATAATGGGGACCATTAGATCAATACAACAATAATAATGAGATGATAAAGGAAATGGGATTGAAAAATATGATATACATAACATTTCACTTTTTCCTCTCATTGGGTAATAACATTTATTGTTCCTTTCTTTTTTTTCTTAAATTGATCATACCAAGATCTTCTTTAATTATTAATGAATATTATTTTATTTTTTTATTAATAAATTCACACATATTAACTCCTCTTATTATAAAATTCATACAGATATCCTCTTCTATAAAGTAATTTGGAAAAAAATAAAAATGATATATTTTTATAATTAAAATATATAAATTCATAAATAAAAGATAAGTGTTGGATATGAGTGTAATTAATTTTTATTTATTTATTATTATTTTTTTGGAGGTGTCTAGGTAGGGGTGAGCATGGTCCGGATTGGATCGGATTGGGATAAAACCAGGACCAATCCGTTATCTACGGTTCCTAAAAAATTAGAACCAATCCAATCCGTTTAAATCATGGAACCAATCCGAACCAATCCATTTAAATACGGATTGGATCGATTTAGGACCACGGATTCACATAATTAAATAACAAAAATATATTTATAACACTTTAATTTTATAAAAATATAAACATAGCGCTATATTAGTTCAACAATAGCAACATATTTTTCTATAATAGCGACATACTGTTCTAAAATTTAAACAACCATAAGAAAATTTGGTTTCACTATAAGTATTTAAACCATTACAAATTAAAGCTAAAAACCAACAAACAAGAGTAATGAAAGAAAATATTATACGGTTTTAGGTTTAAGTTTAGATTTTATATAAAATTAAGAGAAGATACTATGGGGGAGGATGTATAATAAAAATATAGACTATTTGTATACAGTTCGGATCGGTTCCAATCTGGAACCGTGGGATTCAATCCGGAACTAATCCGTAGACTACGGATTTTTAATTCTTCAATCCGGAACCGAATCGCGGATTCAAAAAATCAATCCAAACCTATCGGATTGGACTGGACTGGATCGGATTACGGATTTCACGGATCACTTGCTCAGCCCTATGTCTAGGATGGTGTCCAGGAATACACGTGTGGGCCCGGCGTCATAGTGGGTGGGTATGTCATACGTGCGACTTGGGGGCGTGAAGGCCGTTTGATGTGGGGGGTGGGGGGTAGGGAGGGTACGGTATGTAATGTCCTTTATCAATATCTTTCGCTGTTTATTTTGGCATCTTCTACATTTCGGGTACCCCGGCTGACTTCGGCCATTTTAGGAATATGAATTTAAAGTTAAAAATTAATTTTGATTCATACTTTTTATATAAAATAGTAAAAAAAATTTTAAAAATTAAAAAATTAATTTTTAATCATCTTTTCAAAAACGTTAAATGCCTCTCTTGCCTCCACGTTAGCCAAAGTTTTTCTATGCACTTTTTAAATTTAAATAAATATATATATGTCAAATTAAATTGATAATTTTAATTGGTTTAATTTGAAAAAGAAAGTAAAGTAGCATCCGATGGTGGCAAAGGGTAGTCCAATGGCAGTGTTGGTGTGGTGAGGTACTAAAGAGTGGTAGGATGGTAGTGGTAAGTTGGTGGTGGAGGTAAATGGTTGTTTATTGTCCAAGATAGTGATGAAAGAAGATGAAAGGATGATGGTGAAACGTTTATTTTATTTTTGAATATTTGTTACATATGGTTCATGTGTATATTTTTTATTAAAAATAATTAAGCTTATTATTTATAAGATTAAGAGTTGGTTTGGTAGTATGCATAAAAAGTTAAAGTCAACTTTTAATCCATTTTGGATCACATTATCTCTCACATAAAATAGTAAAAAAAAGTTTAAAAAGTTAATTTTTAATCATCTTTTCAAAACAATCCTAAATTAACAAAATATTTAAATTCAAATCAAAAGCAAATCAATTAAAAGTATAAACATTAAAATAATATTTAAAAAATAAAATATAAGAACTAATAGCATAATTTTCATTACAATTTATTTGAAAAATAATAGTGATATGGATGGTTGAGTAAAATATATATATAATTAAAAAAATGTTAAAAGTATATAAAAGTTTTAATTATTTTAATATTATTTTCACACAATTCAATAATGTATTTTTAGCATGATCTAATTTCATTTTATTCTTGTTGACCCAAAGTTTTGTGTAGGTACCAAAATGGTTAACAATTTTCGTGCCTCACACCAATTGTTCTGTACCAACAATATGGTTAAAATTTGACTGAAACGAGTAAAGTGTAAATCAACCCAACCCAAACTAAATTAAATTGTATCTCTATAGTTGACCATATATCTATTGTTATTTCATTATGGGTTCTTTTGGAAAGATGGTAAAAAATTAATTTTTGACTTTTTACCAAGTTTTTTGACTTTTTTGGAAGTAATTTGAGAAGTTGGTAAAAAATTGGCTTTTTATTTTTTAGTTTAATATTTATTTATGGTGTCAAATCAAATTAAAATGACTAAAATACCCTTACCCAATATAAGAGATTTATTTTTTTATTTTTTTTTCATAGGCCCTAATTTGTAATTTTAAGACTGCGTTTTTGGTACTTCCCAAAACGATTTTGTTGCGTTTTTAGTAGCCACGTTTTGTTCCCAAAATGACACTATGTCAAGAATTACATATTCAATTAAATTATTCATGATTCTCACATTAAAGATAGTGTAGTTTAAACTTGACCTAATTTCATTTTAATCATGTCACTCAAAATTGCATGTAGGTACAAATAGTGATAATTTGACCCAAATTAAAGTGTAAAATCAAACTAAACCTAATTAAACTTCATATTCGATGAAATGAAGTTGACTATATGATTTTTATATTTATTTGCTATGAGCATATACTCAAGTAGATCATCCAAAATTCTATTATAAACATGGATAAATAATAACACTAACTTTTGTTCAAATTTGAATAAAATATATTAAATTCATAAATTTTACATAATTATATTGAATTTTCTTAAAATTTGAATTCATACAATATTTAATTCAATTTTCATCAATAATTGGTAACTCATATGAATTTCGAATTCTTTTACTTTAGTATAAGAAAAATCGTTAAAAATCAAGATTGATTAATATAATTTTACTTATGAATTTGAGGTAACTGTTGTGTATGGCAACCACTTTTATGCAAATGATTTGGTTTATTTCGATAATTCAATCAATTCACATCTATCGAATAGAATCTACCTAAAAAATCAAATATTGATACCTCTCTCATCAAAAATATCAAAATCAATGGTTGCCTAACCCATAATATACTGTTTTTCTCTTAGTTGTCTTTTGGTGCTCATTACATAGCTGAATCCACCATAACAGGCAAGGGAAAAAGCAACATCATCCACTATGATTTTATCTATTTGTATGCTTTGAATTTTTATTTTGATTCCCCCAAACCCAACCCCCAATCCATCATAGTAGTAAATATATTTTTCTTCTGTTTTATTTTTATTTT